AAACTTCTCGTTCATTAAACGCCAATCACCGACTACTCTATGTTAAGAGGTTACGGTGGGATGGTTAGGAATAGATGCAAATTTATCTTCATTAGTGAAGTCATGTTGGGACAAGTCCTCGAGAAGTTGTTTTGACCCATTCTTTCGATTAGTTTTGAAATATGACAGACTACCGAGATCAATCGATATTTTGTCATATCTGATTTAGATCCCCTCCCTTTAAATATTGGTGTTTTTGTAGAGGTTTTCCAGTCATCAAGGATTGTACCTGATGTTAAACTAAGATTAAAAATACCAGTAGGAGATGTATAGATAAGAGGTGGAGATAAACGTAACAAATTTAAATCACAATTAAAAAAAATGTCCATGTTACTACAGGATAAAAGACTTCAAAGTAAAAGTTTCAGTTTCATATCGAACAAAAGTAATCATTAAGTTAACAAAGTTTCCCCAAGATGCCCTGCTGGAAAGAACACACTCATTCACACTCATTCACAGTGTGAATCACACTGTGAATCACAGTGTGCTCCACAATGTTAAATTGGGGCGTTTTTCACATTGTGGTCGATTCGTTTCACACTGTGGTTCACAGTGTGGATAACCGGAAAAGGAAAGAACACACTCATTCACACTCATTCACAGTGTGAATCACACTGTGTTCACAGTGTGTTCTTTCCAGCAGGGTGTGTTTAAAAGAACTCTGCGCTTACCTGAAAGCAATTATTCCTCAGAAAGCGTGAGTGATGTTGAAGCTGTAGACTAGAATGTTGCCTCCATATCTGAATCAAGGTGTTTTCTCGAAGACCTTAATATGTTGAAAGGCAGATCTTAGATATGTCTGTGAATTACATAAAAACAATGAAAACATGAAAAGTGTGAAACGAACCTACGCAAGGATTAAAAGTGTTCCGTGCATTTGAGGGATAACATTTGGCATGTTATATTGGTTAAATGATTTCCATCTTTTTGTCACATATAATTTCCCATTTATCTGCGTTGTTTTCCTTTACGTCTTTTTTTCCCTTTAAATGGCCGATCTTCTTCCAGCAAAATAAAATATTCAAATATTAATAGCAAAATGTAATGGAATTTATGGTTATGTGTTTTGGAATATTTTACTTTCCTATATTCCCACTATCTCTTTCTCTCTCTCTCTCTCTCTCTCTCTCTCTATCCCCAATTCCTCCCTCGGAGGGAGCAATTATCATACAGAACAAACAAATATGTTTTTCAAAAACACAGCTAGCTCGGAGATTAGGGAAAAGTCATCTGACTGTGCCTTAAACCCTTCTTAGAACACATGACTGTATACCTGCCAGCAAAATAATGTATACATTTGCATATTTTGGGGATTACATATTTTTTCTCTATCCCGCGTTGCGTAAAAAGAATACAACAGAATGCAAAAGAATGCAAAAGAATACAAAAGAATAAATACTTTGATTATTTTCTTGGGGGGGGGGGGTGCTTCTAACGGCAAAGTTTGTTTGAAAGTACTGTGCATACTGTGATAGCATAACACTATCGCAAAAAGTTGTTTCTAGTAACATCGCAAGTGATATGCCAATAAATAAGTGATACTTTTCTGATCAAACTTGATTGACACCAATTAGTTGCTTGATGGTCTGGAGTTAATCGCCGAGGGAATAACAGTATCTCATAGGTTCGTCCAGGAAAACACTAACCATACTAACTTAATTACATTATAAAAATATACAAGACGACAGTGTATTTCTGCGCTTTACAAACTATACATATCATGCTTTTAGTCTCCTGACTGAGATATAATAAACGATTTATCAGAATTAAAATCTAAACTTTCCAAAGTAAAGTTAGATTCCTTTTCACTAAAAGGAGGTGTAACACACTCAAAGAAAAAAAAAAAACCTGAATGATATCCTGAGGCCAAACAAATCAATATATAATCATATTTATCCGCCTGAGAATCAACAAAAGAAGTTATTCTTTTTACGGATATTGATTCCTATAGATTTGATCTCGCTCACAAAGGAACTGTATATCATAATTTATTCATTAAGATCTAGCGCCGAAGTGGAAAGCAAACAAGAAACCTTGAGGAATTGCGATGAAAGAGAATTATTACAAAAATCAATTTCCCACAAGGATTATGACATTGTGCTAACATTGACTTACATACTTTGAGTATGATCAACAGACTATTCAGACATGTTTGCTTATTATTACAAGATAACAAGAGACGCTTTATATTACAGTGAGGTTCTCGACCGCCGAACTAAATTGTTCCGAATTTACGATATATATATATATTTTTTTTTTAAGAGTAATTTTGTTTTCCAATTTAAATCAGTCCACAATTTATCCTTTGGCGCTTTTCTTTTATCAGTTAAAACATACCCACCTCTTTATGCACTACCTGCATACAATGTCAAACTATCTGGTGCAATGAAAAAAATTATATAGGGGAGTAGATATGTGTTTTATATTATACGCTGAATTGATATGTAATCATATTACCTATCTTTTGTCTATATCTTAATAATTTCTTCGTTATGGGTAATATATTTATCATGTTTCTTTATCCTTCATTCATTCATTCATCAACTTATTAAACTATCTATCTGTTTTTTCATTAAAAAAAAGATTTCCTCACCTTTTGCAGAGAAATCCTTTCCTTCCTACATGTATGTCATGTCTGAAATCATTTTTTAAAAATAAATTTATTCAATTACTTTTAGCTACATGTACATATTGGTAGCCAAAACGAATGTAAAATCCGAGTTGGATTATCTAAGCAATATTGCCAGATTATTCAATATTACAAGGGCAGAGTCATGGCCGAGGTGGTCGGTTTGTAAGTCAGTTGGTGCCCAAGGAGTGCTGAATATCCATATTGATTGATGTAGTACATCATGTCCCCTGAGAGCCTGGTACAATAAAGTCTTGTCCTTAAAAACGATAAACAATGTTGTCAATGCCGCCCTTAGGGAGAGCAATGACTGTGATTTCCACAAACTAGAGGGCAATTAAATCAAGAACGAGCATTTGAAGATGCCTTTTCTTTGTCCTCGAGTTATCATCTAAGAAACAACGTACGATGGCTACTAAAGCGGAATTCCTATACCTCCTACTCATTCTTTACATATTTCTATCTCAATCTATCTTTGAATCTATCTATGGAGCTAGTTATCGCGTTAGCTTTTCCTTTCCATCTATTTTCTCCACGAACTCTCTTTGCTGGTCCCCCTTCTCACTACCTCTCGATCTGTCTATCTCTTCCCAAATTCGTCTCCCCCAACTCCCTTTCTCACTCTCCCCTTACAATCTATATTTCCGTTTCTACCTCTGTATGTCTCCCTCTCTCTCCCCTCTCTCTGTTTGTCGATCTGTCTGACTGTCTGTTTCTTTCTTCTTTTTTTCTCTCTGTCTCTCTTTTTCTTTCTTATTTGGGTTATCTAAAATATAAAGCACACTTATGGAGAAAAAAGATCGCCTAGAGAAACACTCAGATACAAAAAGATGCTTAAAAAAGAAGGTCTGTTGGCAATAGCTATTATTTTCATTGCCTGTCAGTGTCTTTGTAATTATATTCGATCTCATTTTACGGATTTCCGTTGGATATCTGGTGGGAAATCCTGTATTAGACTGATTGACAAGGGTTTCTTTAAAGTTCTCTTCTAGACTAAGCCAAGGTTGATCCTTCGAGTCTCGCCCATCCATCATAATATTTCACCATCCAGACTCAATGATTCTCAATCCCCATGATTCTCAATCCCCACTCTAGCTGGCATCCCTATCACCATAATTGATTTGATGCAAGTATCATCGAACACATCTACAGATGTTCGAAGGAAGGAATTAAACAGAGACAGACCTAGTCAGTGAATAGACGCAGTGGTGTCTCCATTTCCTAACGTCAATATATTTTGTTATAGTTCTGAGCCGATTGTGGAACAAACAACTGTATCTAATTACGCAAGTTAGGGGTAGTCTATTTCTCTTGGAGCCTGTATGCTTCTACACCATGGCAAGAAGCTCATCTCTGGTTTCCTCAGTTTAAACAAAAATGGCTCAAGAAAGGAAACATATCTCCCCAACCATGATCACCCGTGTCATTACAGTCTAATAGCATGAACTTTCATAATAAACATCAAACAAGCATAACTACTCTACATGTGAAATATGCTCAAACCAAACATGTATTGTTAACATATCAGATGAGAACATTTGGCTGTTAATGCTTTAGATTCCCATGATTCGTCCACGAAATTAGATTATGGAAAATTTCAGCTTAATTAAGAGAACACATTCCTAACTTTTTAATAAACTATATGATACAATTAAGATATATTTCTGCGGACACCCGACACACACACACACAGAAGCGAACACAATGGCATTTTCCTCTTCAAATTCTGTGATTTGCTTAGCGTTATGGTAATTTTTTGTTTTCAAGGCACCTAAGTGATAGATCTAGAGCAAGCCACATACACATGCGGAAAATTCAAGAAAAAACAAAAACAAGAAGAAACTGAATTTGCGAGTTGGAATTAGATCATTCTAAATCTTCCGCCTCTGTACCTCGTCCCAGTCCGCTTCGTGTTATACCCAAAGAGATTCGATCATACACAGTATGTCCTCCGTAGGAGGACTAGAGGGCCAACTAAAATCGTGACCTTTGACATTTCATAGGTTTTGCATTGGATGCATTATGGGGTTTTGTCCGATTTGAACGACGGTTTTGGAGGGTCAATGAATATTCATGAGCAATGACGTAAAAAATACGCCAACTACTGTTTGTTGATTGGCCATCGACAAAATGTTTTATGTATTAGGTCATGCATAAAACATTTTTTGCATTCCCAGAATTCCCTACGATTTGAGCACGAAAATGGTGGTTGTATGAACTGCAACTTTCAAGTTATTCAATTACGAACAATGAAACATTTTTCTTTTAAGTGAATTCTATTATAATAGAAGTTTGTCAAGTACATCTCAGTGAAGCAGAAAATCTTCAGGCGAACATTGGCATCGAAGTGATACCCTATGATATCAAGAAAAGTAAGTAAAGATCCATTTTGTGTGAAGGTCTCTGAAATGATTGTGATGTGTTCGTCATTGCAGTGAGCGGCTCTCCGCATTGTCACAACGTATTACCCGGTTAACCCCTTACCCCATCCTCTTTTCTTTCTTCTGACCAAAGAATATTAACTGATTGAATGAACTCTACTTTAAGTCATCGACGGTAGTATTTTCAGAAACAATCAGGATTTTACCGTAGGTTATTTCATTAGAGCACATCTCATAATTTTAAGTTCAGTTCATAGCTTGATTTCCGATAGTAATCGGTCGTAGATGTGGAGACTGCGCAAATGGCTCATTGCTAGTCCAAGCCGATGAGATCTCGTCGAGCGGTTTATGATCTTCAATCCGCCGGTTCTAGCCGGCTGTAACACTCTACCAAGAAGCGACTGCGTTTCATGAGCTGGCGCGGCTATAACTTACAAAGTTACAGTGTGGTACTGTAAAGCCTAGGGCTAGGCTAGTATTCATAGCATAGTCTGGCCTGAATTTTCTGTCTCTTTTGTTCGTTAGCCCTTGATTTGGGTAGGGTCGGCTCCTCTCTTCAGCCGACCCTACCCAAATCAGAGGCTAACGAACGAAAGAGACAGAAACATTCGGGCTAAGCAAAGCCTAAGCAGAGCCTAGGGCTAGGCCTAGATCTAGGTCTAGTCTAGATCTAGCACTTAAATATAAACAGCATTTAACCCCGCATCTAGTATAGGCCTAGATCTAGGGCTAGATTCTAGGCCTAATGCATTCTAATAAAGAAAGACTAAATAAATGCCTGGTGTAGGTGGATTAAATAAATGATGTGGAAGTTATGGAGAGGGGGGGGGGGGTGCACAATCATTCTGTGCCCCCCTTTTTCAGATGTGGCATAGGTCTAGGGACGGGTCTAGATCTAGGTCTAGAGCCACCTACTAATAATACTGAAAATAGGCAATTACATCTAGATCTATAGCTTGTGTTATGCCATAGCAAAGAATTCCATAGCCATGGGTCTAGTCTCGTTTTTGCTACACTAGACTAGACTAGTCGTGCACATGTGTCATTATTGTGATCCAGGTCCAGATTCAGCTTAGTTTGAATGTAGATCTAGATCTACTACTAGGCTAGATCTACCATCAACAACAAAAACAAAAGAAAAAAGGTGTCTCCTCCCCCCCCCCCCCCCCCCCCCCACCCCACCCCTCTTTCCCTGATTTTGCTCTTACTCATGTCATTGTGCCTTGTTTGAAATAATTAGTTTATTTTCAGGATTTTATGCCACCCCTTTTAGTTTTATGTTGGTGAGAATTCTGGATCCAACCCTACATATGATATGGATATTTCTTTCTTTATTAAAGGACATGAACAAAGTTATAAACTGATAACTAATGCATGCATTTGATATTAGCAGGAACCTTACTAAGTTTATGTTTTCTTTAAATTGTAGATCCTATGGAACAAAGAAGCAGATAATGATCACAGAAGTGCAACAAAGAGCACCAGGACCTGATCATCAAAAGTTATGGTGTAGATCTAATTCAAGAACAGGACACCTAAGTTGAACTCTGGCAAGGTATGTTTGTATAAAGTTCGAAAATATTCAGGCTGTATAATCTAAGCCCATGCGAACACCGCACTCGACTAGGACTATATACAAAGATTTGGGGAACTGTCATCTTGTGTTGCATTATATCTTGTAATTCTCATTTATTCTCTAGCTTTTTATTTAGGTGACAAACTATGGTGTTGCTACAGTTTATTCTCTCAGCATATTAAAAGACGTACTCAAAGGCATTTTTTCCTCAATATTACATTATATCTAATAAACTTTTGTTCACAAAAGTCTAGCAAATAATAACTTAAAATAAATTGGAAATTACTTTAAGAATAATTGGAAATACATCTAGAACTCTAAACCTTTACTCTTCTTTTCAAAAAGGGCCCTATCAGATAGACATAAGTTTATCATTTTTTAATAAAATTAAAATGCAAGACCTACAAAAAGTGGGGAGGTACTATTTTTGAAAATACAATATAATGCAGCAGTTTTAATCTTATTTGATTTCTCCTCTCTTTTTGTTTTTATTATGCAGGTTGTCCCAATCTGCATGGTTTGATACCCAGGCTTCTTTTGTACAAGTCCCTAGTCCACCCTCATCTTGAGAACTGTTCCGGTGTCTGGGATCCCTACAACATCTAAGATGTCCAGGACGCTACTTCACAATGGGGACCACAAGAGAACCAGCAGTTTGACTGAGATGATCAGCACCTTTTAGTTGCCTACTATATCTACAACTACAAGGCACTCTGTAAGAAGATTGGGAATGGTGCACAAGATAGTCAATGGTCTCTCCGCTTTCCCTTGAAAATTTTCCCACTGCACTACTTATAGCTACTTGCGCCCTCTATATAGCAAACAATGCCTAATCGGTGCCTGTTGGTCCCCCATGATCCTCTTTTTCTTATATTAATTGAGAGCTGATTTGATGAGATAACCACCTTTCAGTGACCTTGCCAGGTGGTCTAATCCCCCTGGCCAAACTAGTACAGACGGGCTTTAACAAATCACAAGCAGGAAGTACCATGACATGACCCTAATTCAGTTGCACTAAGTCAGAAGCGACATAGACAAGTTTGTATTTGCCCAACACTCTGTCCCAAAGTTAATGGAACTGACTTCCAGCAAATATAGTGCATGCTGACAGTCCAGAGAACTGCCAGGGACTACTTCTGACGCATCTACTCTCTTTATCCCACTTAGAAACATTCTGTCTTCCTCGCACCACTTGTAATCTTTAGTAATAGTTCATCTTCGTGATAGGCTACAACGCCTTTTGAAGATTACCAGAAGAAGAAGAAGAAGATATATCGAGGATCATGAAAGTAATCATTTGTTCTTTTAAATGCGTGTACATGCATGTAACATAGTTTTTTGATATTTAATCTTAAGTCAAGTTCTGACAAAAATATTAGGGATGCTGAACTGAATAGTAAATTGAAGGGGTGGGGGGGGGGTATAAAATGATGTAGTTCAATAGTAATACTGTAGTAATATAATTAATAACATTAATAATAATAACAATATTAAAATAGTAACAATAACGACAATGATCATGATAATAGCAGTAATAATAATGATAATACAGGTAGTAGTAAAAACAACAACAATAATGTCTAATGTAAGATAAAGTACTCATAAAACTCAGTATATACCTGTGCTTTACATAATAAAATAGCATGTTGATATTATTGAATATTTTGTTCAAAATCTACAGTAAACTTTTACAACTGAAAAATTTGAATTCAAGAGACACCCCCCTCCCTCATCCTTTTTTTGATGTCATGTTGGATTTAAAAAGATCTTGATAGAAACAAAATATGTTGATAAATGAGTTCATAGATGTTAATAAATTAGTTAATACTGCTTACTTCTGTTCTTTTCATTTTCTTATTTTGTGAAATATATGTGATGATGCTGGTGATTATGATGATGTAGGCACTCTGTAATGATAATGCTGTATGACTGAGGTAAGATGGGGGCTGATACAGTCTTGTGTATAATTGAGTATGGTGTTTGACCTTTTGATGTTTGTTTATATCTGGCATCAGCGAGATAGATTTAACCATGATCTTTCCTAATGAGAGAGAGAGTGGGCAAGACTAATATATAAATGCAGTATGAAAAATGGTTGACAATAAAGATGAGGGGGAGGGGGTTAAATAAAGAATAAGTCAATGCCAAAATGATGAAAGCATAGGTAATTGGGGTGGGGAAGGGGGAGGGAGGGTAATAGAGCCTATGGAAATGTCAATATCAGAAGGGGTCCCTGTATTGAAAATGTTACTGTTGGGGGGGGGGGCAAATTAAAAAAAAATAAGTGGCGACGAATGCAAGAACAAAAAGGAGATAAAATTGAAATTTAATTGGGGATGGGGCACAATATGAAGATCATTGAAGTCAAGGTGAGAATGATTCATTATTTAGACACTAAAGATATGAAAATATCAATTGTTAAGTGGGCTAAATGAGTAGTGCAATTTGTCTGATTTAAAAATATTAAGTTAAAGTTAATAAACGAACAAAAAAAAAAGAGGTAAAAAATGAATTGAGGTACCACAGTGAAATGGGGTCATTATTTTTGCCTTTTAACTGAACTGAATTTTTTTAAATGTACTTGTGGCCCCAACGAAGTCAACCATTTAAAAGTTTATTAGCCCCCCCCCCCCCCCCCCCGGCCCCACACACACACACCTCCCCAACTCTGACCTTAATTTATTCTACATTTATCGGCCCAATTAAGGATTCTGTCGATATAGTAACGCATGCGCATTGTCTTTTTTTATTGCGATAATATGCTAATAAGTGGAAAAGAGCTCATGAATATTCCAAATTTTAATTTAAATATTTTGCGCGCTGCGCGCAGTCCAAAATCCCCATTTTCGCTGGTGCACTAAAGATTTGTCGTCTTCATAGGCTAATACACGATAAGTGGAAGCAGTGTGCACTTTTGACCCTCCAAAATTTCCCCATGGCTAGACGGATGCAGAAGCGGAGTTGAACCCCCCTGGTTATACCTTAAAAGCACGAATAGCCTTAAGGTGGATAGACGCTAAACCGTGGGTTGAACACGGATGGTAGAGGGTGATATTGGTCTAAGCTATTAGATTTCACATCAGATATCACGTAAACACGTTATCGTGTAGTTACTGTCGTAAGCAAGATCCCGCTGGGTATCGTCTTATGCGCATTGGTAAAGCAACTTAACAACAAAAAAGTGTGAAAAGACAAACCGAAATTCAGATCTTGAGTAAAAAGTAAAAAAGGGTCATAAAAAGTTTCACTACCTTCTGAGGAAATCATCATCACCAGTATTATTACTTATTATCTTATGAAGATTTGAACTTACTAGGGTATTCATTACCATTTTCAGTCTTGTGTTTATCTTAGTCTAGTGGTAGATGATTTGTTACTACCCTCCTACACCCCCTCCTCTTCCTTCTTTTTATTTATTTATCTCTTCTTCTTTTTCTTCTTTTTCTCCTTCTTCTTTTTCTTTCGTTTTTGAATCTTTAATTTGTAAGCTACTCATGCCATTCATGAGGTATCTCGGTTCCTGTATCAGCAAATCCGCGAACTAACAAAAATACACGAAGTGGCCTGAATTGGGCAAACGAGTTACTCTGAGATTATTGCTGACACGTCTCCAATACAAAAGCAGACGTCATTGATTTGAAATGGAAATAAATCGATACCACAAAACAGCATATTTCAGATGCAATGGCATTAATATAGGTTAAAAGAAAGTTTGTCAATTTATACAGTTACACACTTTATATTATCCCATCGAAACAGTTTACATAGTTGATTTCGAGATCAGCGTATATCTTTTTCACTGACAGGGCAAAAAAGGTGTCAGATTAGCAATTGAAATATGAATGATCCTTGAATCTGCATTAAACACGATAATATTACCGAATATAAACCTTTGAAAAAAACAGGAAACAGATTACGAAATAATAAAAACGGTACCTACGTTGAATGTCTAATTTTTTTTTCTTACTATATTAAAATCTAAATTGATGTAAATATATATGAAATGTGAATATGTGAAATAAAACACCTCGGTAAGAGGACATAACAAAAAACCACTATACATTATATTTCACTTTAATAGGCCTATTTAAATTCTTAGAAAAATTCAAAATAACATAATAAAGGATAAAGAAGTAGACGGTAACTGTCTAGACTGTGTTTTTAAAACAATATCTCTTTTGACCTACAAATTCTGATTTTAGTTAATGTGGTTCCCATCAGATTCTCGTCTTATCTTTTCAGTTTACTTGCACCCCTTTCTCTCTCTCTCTCTCTCTCTCTCTCTCTTTCTCTCTCCGTTCATTAGTGCTGCATCACGAACTGGAGACGAAAAAGCAACAGAATACAATATAAGAGGCTAACAAGCAAAAAAGGGAGAACAAATAAAACGAACGAAGAAAACAAAAATCGTCGTATAACATTGGTTTACAAAATCTGTCGAAACCCCCCAAAACGTTTTCCGATTTGAGCCCTCCAACCAGTTCCGGTAAATCTAGAGTACAAAATGAAATCTCAGCTCCACGGTTTGTGCAGCTCTATTATCGGATGGACGATTTAGTTTGGCTTCCATTTAAATCAATACTCCATTTATCAGCTAGAGCTATGCAGCGTCACAGCAAAAGATTGCAACCTTGGAAAGCATCCCATTACTCGCTAAAATAAATCGCTTTTAAATTGAGAAGGCATCAGTTTTCATTTGCCCAACTTGATGTGATAAGGAGCAGTATTGTTACACAAGTGCAATTTCTCCTCCTGTGTTTGCACGTGTGTTAGAAGTAAAAATGCAATAATCTGGGGGAAACGGAAAATATGAATTTCCTCTTTTTAGGTGTAGTGCCGACCTTCAACTTGCAAGATTATAATAGAAAAGTACTTTAATGTGAGGGTAGATGACAAATAGTGATTTATACGTCATATTTGCTCAATGTTTGAGTGACGTCGAAGATTTCTTTGAAAAAGCAAACTGTGCAGCAAGTAGGATAAATGAGTACACACGAATCAAGAAAGTTTAGAGATATGACTGTGCATATTTTGTTTCATACCACATCGCTTTCGTCATGTGTAATACAATGTGACAACAAAAAAACAATGTAGAGAGTGAAAGAATATGCGCTATTGCGTCAACATATAAATCTGTTTAGAACGCACTTGCACTTTAAAGACAATGTGAAAACGCTTTTAACGCACGTTATTAAAAATCATCAGAACTTGTGATTAAGTTATTAAGAGCTGTGAAAACAGTATTTTGAAACTGTCGCCACACATGAACAATTCTACCATGTCTACACACGTTGCGAACACACAAACCAACATGGTCAAAACCCTGGCATCATGTGAACACGCTACAATGGAACTGTGAGCACAATCGTGACACACACTGAGTATTCACAGTAGATACACTGTAAACACACGCTATAAACGCACAGCCGACATAGTGGAATTGAAACACACTGTACTGGGGCAGACAGAACACTGTGAACAAAATTTGAACAGATTCTGAAAATGCATTGAACACACTGTGTACAAACAGTATACTCACTGTGGACACACTGTGTACATACAGTATACTCACTGTGGACACACTGTGTACATACAGTATACTCACTGTGGACATACTGTGAACACACAGTATACTCACTGTGGACACACTGTGTACAAACAGTAAAGACACACTGTGAACACACCCTTTATAAAAATGCAAACTCTCTGTCAGAACGCTAGA